CTGCCGTTGCAGTCATGTACATAAATACATAAATACAAACATACATACATATTATATGTACATATGGTGGTCAGTTGTCAGCTGTATGAGTTGTTGTCACGCTAGGTAGCATTAAAATAATTGTATGACTTCCGTTAAGTTCAGCAAAAATATGAGCACTTGTACTGAATATGACGAGGAAAAACAGAACTGATGTCACAATAAGCGGTAATATGAGGCGCTTATGGCCCACAATGGACTAAACATTTCGATATGTTTGTGTGAGTGTACAAATTATATATTCATATGCATGAAAATAATGTACTACATATAATCCATTTATATACTCGTACATACATACGTACATATGAATAAGTATAAGCATAAGTTACTACTCTAACATACATATTTATGAGGTTACATAAAAATATTATCTGAGAACCAAGGTGTACTCAGGGAAGAGAGATTTAGTAAGTAAAAACTCAAAATAAATTAGAAAATAAATGGAAATGAAATTAAATTTGAGTAAAATGAAAAATTTATTTAGATCAAAATTAAATTCAAAAAAGCAGTGAACTCAAATAAAATAAAGAATATTATAATATAAAAATAAAGCAAGAGATAAAAATGAAAAAAAAAAATTAAATTAGAGCAAATTAAATTAGAAGAAAATAAAAAAAGTAAAACCAAAAAATAGAATATGAAATAAAATTAATTTAATTAATATAATTACAAAAAAAAAATAAATAAAATAAAAATACCAAACTGAACCGAAATTACAATGAAATGAGTTCAAGTAAAAAAAAATTAATGTTTAATTAAAAAATAAAAAAAAAATAAAATGAAATAAGCAAAACAGTTGAAATAAAATGAGGTAAAACAAAATAAAACAAAATTAAATAAAGTGACATGAAATAATGCAAATGAAAACGAAATAAAATGAAGGGAAGCAAAGAAAAATATTTTAAAATATAAGCAAAATAAGTTGATAAAAAATATTACAAAATATGCTTATTAAAATTTAGGTATTTTATATTATAAAGTATAATTGTGAAATATTGAAAAAATCGAACATCATGCCGTTATAAAGTTCCTTGCCAAGCAAGGAAAAACAGTTGCGGTCACAACGCATGTGAAGCCATTGTTGGCATGATTAACAATAACTACAATGGCAGCGTTTTGTTGACTGAACTGCATAAGGTGGGCCTCGATATTTTGAATTTACCTCCCTACAGCCCAGAACTGGTCTAAGTGATTATTACCTCTTTTCAAATATATAAAATAAAAAAGAGCAAGAAAGTTTTTTTGAGGACATAAATAAATTAAATGAGAGATCCGAAAACTATATACATACATATATTGAAAAAGAAAAATAATTTATTTTTTTATTTTCACCCTTATTCCTCACACAACGATCATAAAAAAATCCCTTTTATGCACGAATGAACTAGTGGCAATTACATAATATATAAGGTAATTTATTTTTATAAAATCGCTCTCAACTAAGTTTAAACGTGGGTTGTAGGTTGTAAAATGTGCTGTTTTAAAGCAGACTTTTAAAGTTCGAGTTAAAACAAAAACAATAACATGAAATATATGTTTGTGTTTAACGGTGAAATACATGCATCCATATGAATTTGGGTGAATAAATTAAAAAATTCAGTTGGAAATGGGAATTACTGGTTGATTTCAAGCTGCGCTAGTTTTTAATGTACCTGAAAATTATGTTTTAACATTAACATTCGCACCGACTCACGAAAAGTCATGTTAATCGGTAGTAGTGAGTTTTTTTTTGTTCAAAAAAGAAGTTATGGTAGTATTAACAGCGTAGGTACAATAGCTACATTGCTTACTAATCAAATTTTTGCAGACTCTCCGCAGCACCCGTCTCGTCTACTACATACAAAAAACAAAGTGTTGACGCTGCCGACCGTGTTAAAATTAGGTTGAAATTCGTGGTTGTAGTGTATTTTCGTGATGAGTATTTTTTGTTTAGTCAGATATTAACATTGACAGCGCGCGTCTATGGCCCAATTACATGTATCTAAATATGTATGTATATGTATGTTTTAACACGTGCAAGCGATAAATTTTACCTGAAAAGCAGAAAAAAGAGACAAAGCGCCATCAACGGTGGTAAAAGCTGAAAAAGCTACCACTTTGTTTTTATTTTTATTTTTATTTTTTTTGGTTTTATTTTTGTCTTTTGTCTACTTTGAACGAAAAGAAAAAGTAGCGGCAAATGTGTTTGTGCTCTGACGGTTTTTATTGTTAATGGTAGTAGCACTAGCTGAAAATAAGTAAAAATTTATTGTACAAATCACTGTTAATTGCGTATCTAACCATTTGCTATGTTAGTTAGCTTTTTTGGTTGGCCAGCAAGAAAGTGTGTAAGATCATTTTCTGGGTATTCAGATTTTACGGCAGTTTACAAGAGATTAAAAATTCTTACCGTTAGGTGGAGTCTAGCTGCAAAACATCTGTATATGTGTTTGTACATGTATGTGTCTATGTATGTATGTATGTGTGTATGTGTGTACGTGTATGCACAAATTTTGTAAAAGCTGTGAAAAAGTATGTAAATTCTTTTTTATAGTTTGCAAAAGAGTTAACGCCTTTCTCTTGGATATACATATGTATGTATATGTATATGTATATGCAAAATATTAATACACATTTGTATAATATCTGCATTAAAGTGTGCCTCCTTGTAAGTAGGTGAAGAAAAAAACACCGTAAGCTAAACAAATCTTTTCTTTCTTTTGCAAATCGCATTCGATTTTATAACTGCGATAATCACATTGATTCAGATGAAGATAAGAGTAATTTAGTTCGTGCTGAGTTTCTTAAATTCAAATGTATTTACATAGATAACACACTGAAAAAAAAAATAATAATAATAATACCAGTAAATGATAGATATTTTTTTTAACAAAAATTCACTGAACCGGCAATGTCGTTAGAGTTTTTTTACACCTGCAACTGTCATTCACGGTCGATATTTCTGCAAAGTCATGACTCATTGGCATTGCATGGGCAAAAATTCCCTTCGATGTGCTGTGCATTTTGGGAAAATCAATGCCGAAGGTGGAGCAAACACGTGGCTCTTAAGGAGTCATTGATATAATTACAAATATACATATGTGAACTAACACCTAAGAAAATACATAAATAAATAATCAAAAGCGTCTTATGATAATTTCAAAAATACTGGATATTTTTATAATTGATAACTCAGGCTGTGTATTTCCTAATTAAAAAACACTATATGAATTATAAGCAGTTAGGAATAAAGACAAATAGGTATTATCCTATTGTATATTACATTTACAGACTTTGTATTTATATACATATGTATGTAAATATTATAAACCATGAAAGTGCGAAAATTGTGCTTTGTACAAATAGAAAGGCAGTCAGGAAAAGGAAGTGCATATGTATATGTATGTAATTTTGTACATTCATATATATTGAGAAACCAAGTAATGATGTATAAAAAAATGGCGTAGGAAATCCTTAAAAACTTACCGCAGATCAAATTGGAATGTTATAATTGCAAATTAATCCAAATGGCAAAAAGTGGCAGTACCTATGCAAAGATGGATGTAATATTTCGATTTTTAATTTAATTTAGCCACCGTTTAACACGTATCGCCGACTTTATTCGTCTGATTTCGGTATCCACTAGTCACGATTTAATTACGAAAGTTCGCTTTTGTCCGCCGGTTTGCAACGTTTAGCGAATTGGGTATGTATGTAAGTATGTATGAAAAATTAAATTCAGATTCTCTGTGGCTTTTTTTTAAGAACAAAAGCACTTTCCATATGTAATTCTAACAGTAGTATTTTTTAATATGGGATGCCCAAAGCACCAAGTGCAGAGTCTGCCTTGAATTAGCTGGTATAAGCGACAGGTTTTGTATCATGTGATGGTTCGATGCACTATTATTTTTTTTACAATATTTCACTTTATTATCGTTTCAGCACTCGCTTTAAATAATTTTTTAACATTTGTCGCGGCTGTGTATTTTTATGAAATTTGGAAAAGTTCGCACTGCACCGTAAATTTGCACCTGAAAATCCCTGTGTATGGAACAAGTCGATTTTAATATAGAAATGAAAATGTTCCATGGACCAGTTAAACTTTCGCCGGCCTCGCTCCAACTTCGCTCTGAAAGCAACTAAATCAATTGACGTATCCAGTTTTCCACCACTTTTTCACAGATATTCATTTGCTTACTTGCTTTTCGCTGAATTTTTATCACAGTTTACGCAGACTTTATTTTGTTTTGTTGTTTTTGTGAAAGTGCAATCGGTTTATTGTTGGATGAATGGAACGGAGCATTGGAGCAAAGAGATGCTCTCATTGGAGCCAACCACGAAATTGATGAAAGGGGAAATGTCAAAATAAAAAGATTGTGTGAAAAAAGTCCCCAGAGAGCTTTTGAAATGTATGTCAAAAACAGCTGATAGATAGTCAAATTATTATTGCCACTCTAAAGTTTTTTTGAAAGTTTTTTTTACGGTATAAGTGCAGAATACCGACTCCTTTTTAACTTTGGTACAAGTAAACGAGTACTCAAATTTTATAGAAATTCTTGAGGAACTAGGAGGATAAAGAGAGATAATAAGACTCCAGCACCTTTCGCCTTGCGTTTTCGTCAGTGTTCCTTATGTTACTCGAAAGTTGTATCTGTCATGGCAATATTCGAGCCCATGGAAGATTTTGTCGTCTTCACTGATTCCAAGTCGAGTCATAAACTATTATTCATGTTACTTTCTTGCATAAACACTAAGTAATAAAAATGATTTTAAATCAGATTATGAGTGAATGCGGGTAATTTAAGTTTAAAAGAGTCACTTAACGAAAATTATAGGTCCCGACTTGCCAAAAGAAAATATGATTATGATTTGCCAGCTTAAAGAAATGTGTTCTGTAAACACATATATTTGCGATTAAAACGTGATTAATGAAATAACTGTTTGGGGTATATAATGAATTCAATGAGATGGCAATCCTACTTACTATGAACTAAGCAGATTCCGCAAGCGGACGACAAAGGTGCAGAACTGCGCAATTCTTCAAGTTCTTGTCATAAAATATAAGTTGCTTGCACCATCATACAAAGATTTGCCCAAGCCTATATTATGGATTCCAAATCAGATTTAAGCTTACGACAGATATTCTGGGTAGAATTTATTGAGTTATACAAATCGAAGCCGGTGCTCTGGAAATATGGAAGCGAGATTTACAAGGATCGGAGAGGGAAAAAACGTGCCTATATGGAGTTGGTGGAAAAAATGCGGGAGGTCGATCCCAATGCTGATATTGACCGAGTGAAAAAGAAAATCAACAGTTTCCGTTCATGTTACAGACGGAAACTCTCTATTGCACAAGAACAAATCAATCTTGGGTTAGAGCCGGAAATTAAATGGGTGTATTTCAGATATTTTAATTTCTTACGTGAAATCAAATGTACCGTAGATAGTGAGAACGACTGGAGTTGCGGTGACGATAGCAGATTTGATCAAGATCATTTACAGAACATCGATACAGATGAGGAAAACGCCGCTATGGAGGTAAGAATATAGTCAAGGTAATGGCAGGCAAGCATTTAATTGATTTCATTTTCTTCAGCACGATTCTTATGAAAGGGAGGCAACAAGAAGTTTTAATTCAATTTCTAGCGATCATGATGAGTCGCTGAATGAGACGTATAAAACAAAAAATGAAAAGAATGATTTCGATGAAAGAGTTGCATTGAATTCTGAAGAGGAACAAACATTTTGGATAGAATTTATTCAACTCTATGAATCAAAACCAGAATTATGGAAACGCAACAGCGATGTCTATAAAGATCGTGATGCGAAGAAATTTGCTTATGTTGAATTGGTTGAAAAGATGCAAGAGGTTTATCCGAATGCCGATGCTGAATTGGTAAAGAGAAAAATCAACATTTTACGCTCATCCTACCGCAAGATGTTGAATAAAATTAAAAGAGACATCAGCTTCGGTAGAAAACCCGTTAATAACTGGGTGTACTTCAAATATTTTTCGTTTTTAAGTGAGTGCAAAGATCCATTAGAAGACTACAACATCGGGGATGACTATGATAATAGCTATGGTGCGCTTGAAAATGTTTCTGACACCAAATCCCAGGTTGATTCTGACGTAGAGGAGTTGGGCACATTTCTGGAGGTGAGCATTTAGAATTACAAAGCTCTTAATAGATACTTTATTAGAAAATCAAAACATTTTCATAGTTTCCGACTAAAAGGTATCAGGAAAACACATCACCTGTTCCGACAATATCCTACAACGAATTAAATCATTCTGGTCATGAAGCGACTATGGAGTTCTCTGTTAATCCAACAGCGAATCATAAATTCTGGATAGAATTCATCAAACTCTACCAATCGAAACCTGAACTATGGAAATGTGATAGCGAAATTTATAAAAATCGCAAAGCAAAAAAGAGTGCATATGAAGTTTTAGCACAAAAAATGCGTGAAGTTTATCCCAATGCTGATGCGGATATGGTGAGGAAGAAAATCAACAGTTTACGTTCGACGTATAGAAAAACTTTGCGCAAGTCGAAGAGGGGAATTAGGCTTGGGAAGAAACCTATTTATAAATGGGTCTATCTCGATCATTTTGCTTTCTTGAAAAACTCCAACAATTCACAAGAAAATGAAGATGAGGATAATGAATACGATCAACTATCAGATATCTCGGATAGTAGCGAACATAATTTTGTAGTTGATGATATGGGGGATATGGAAGTGGAGGTATTTTCTTTTTATTTGCAGAATATGTTCATATAAAGAATCACTTATTTAATCTTGCAGTATTTGCCCAAGAAAGACGTTGAGAGCAGTGAACTTTCACCAGTTTCTACACAAGAAGAGATTCATGATGTTCAGGCAAATGTAGCATACAGGAAATTAAAGGAAACTAACGATGAGGCTGATATTTTAGGCATAAGTTGGGCATATCAATATCGCAGTTTAAGCGAAACGCAAAAAATATTTGCCAAAAAAGCAATAGATGATATTTTATTTGAAGCTCGCTTGGGCACCTTAAAACGGAACTCGATTAAAATTAATTAATGTAGTTGCTGGAAAATATGAGAGAGAACTTTGTACATTATTTATGCCTGTAAAATGATGGAAAAATTTAAAAAATAAGAGTCTGACATGAAATTACGGTCAACCCGATAAGAAATTAAAAGAGGTCAAGTATACTTAAATGTTTCTTTTATTATAAAGGAATTTAGCAATTAAAACAATTTTCTTAATTTAATTTTTTTTTAATAATTAACAAAAGAAAGACAGCTACAACTTTCATATACATATTTTACAGCTTTTTTCAAATCTATGTTGTACAAAGTTTGTATGCTAGTATAAAAAGTGAATATTTTAATTTTCTCATTGATAAAATATGTATTAGCAATTTCTAATAGTACTTTTTTCTGGTTAAGCACTGGTTTAGAGGATTTTAACTTTGTAATTTCCTAATAGTTTGAAGAATAAGTAATAAAATGATAAAAGAAATAAAGGCACATTAACATACAAATATATAGAAGAGAAAATAATAATGTGGAGCTATTCTTAATTGTTACTTCTGTTGTTTATAAATTGGTTTGTAAGACAAAAAGTATGTACAGCAGAGCTGTGAAATGACACGCACTGGAGTACGATTGATTTTGAAGAATGATAATAGTGATCAAAACATTGTTCCAAAAAGTAAATTTCTAATACGATGGAAAACACTAAACTGGAATTTTTTAGATAGTAAAAAAAAATTAACCATATGTGAATTTGTAATAAACTGGAAATATATGTTATTTCAAAACTCTGCTGGGCAATGAAAGCACCACAAATTTTTTAATATACATATTTGGGCATGATATTGAAAGGCTATGAGTGCTAGTTAAGGACACATAAAAATATAATTTTTTCCTTACAAAAATTAAGCTTCCTGTACACTGTTTCTTCTTGTTGCTATAGGCGATATCGATATAAGCTTGATAGTAAAATCGAAATATACAAACATACATACTTGCATAATAATATTATTTTAAACCGAATTAATTTAAATGATTTTCATTGACGCGTGCAACAAGCTCATCCTCATCCTCGTCCACCACATCCTCCTGTTCAATTTGTTCGTCTAATGTCTCGAGTTTCTGGCTCTTCATGCGCAATTCAAAAACTTCGCTAATTGCTTTACGGAAGCATAGAAAATTATAGTCGATTACACCTTGTCTGTTGAAATTTTCTTCCCGTAGAATACAGACGAGCGCAAGGAATTTGTTCACTTCTCGTAAATACAATATTGTATTGTTATTCAGCTTAATTAGACTAGAGCTTTCATGATCAAAGGCTGTTTCCTCGGAGCTGAACAAAATAAGAGCAACACAGTTATTTTGAATACTTAAAATATGCAATTTCTAATTCCAACCTGTATATACTCGAAAGATCGATGACCACGTCGATCATGTCACAACAAAGCTCATAGCCCTGCATATCTACCGGTGAACAGTCGGTGGCAATATAGATTTTAGAAACTACATCAAAGAGAAACGCTTTTTCAATACCCGAGTGCTGAAAACACAATAAAGGAAGAAACAACTTAATGAATGTGTATATATGGGTATTAATAAATTTAATTCAACTACCGATATGAAAATGTTGAGCAAATTTTCCAATGTCGGCAATTGTGGAATCAATTTTTGTACAACTTTGGAAAATGCTTCGAATATCGAATGATCGTAAATGGAAGTTAGATGAAAACTCAAGTGTATCTGATTTAAACCTGCGTCACTTAGGTCATCGGAGGCACGCTGATGTATGTCACGTTGCGATTCCATTTTTGAGTCATCGCTAATACCATCCACCTATTTGATAAGAAATACAATACAGTAATAATAAAAAAAAAATTTATATTACAAATATTACAACGAAACTTTATAAATAAAGAGTTCTGATGTTATAGCCTACGACCGTTGGATATCAATTCATAATTTACTTTGAACAACTGTTTCTTTTCCATAGCTTACAGTGATAACGATGCGACAATACGCCTCGCCCGCAATACATTTTTATATCAATTAATATGCAAATGTACGTTTGTATGTACCTTGTGTATGAAGACTTCAAATTTTATGCGTGGATTCACTTTGTATGCTTTAATAACAGTATTCTTGAACTTAGTTAACGCTTCATTGTAATCATCCTTCGCATCAATTACAAAAACTAAAGCACCGCAGCCGCCAAATATCATATCTGAGTCAAATGTCGGATCAATGAAGTCTATTTGGCCTGGGAAGTCCCAAATCTGAAACTGCACGAAGCTGGAATTGTTAATATCGTCTTTAACGATTTTGCTCGTTGACTCAAGGAATAAGGTTTCATTTGGTGACATTTTGTGGAAGACCACTTTTTGTATAGAACTTTTGCCCGAACGCCTTAAGCCCATTAGCAAAATGCGTGGCTTCGATTCGCCACCGCCCATTCCGGGTGCATCCAAGCCGTCTTGGTCAAATGAGCCATATCCAAAGTCTTTTGGAAACGTATCCACGTGATATTCATCGTCCTCGTAACTCTTTATTTGAAACAAAATAAAATGGTGATTATTGCAGTTATCTGGCTTCTATTTATTGTGGACTATATTTTATCTTACCATTATTTTGTATTGCTGAGGCGTTTTCCCACGAAACGCTTCACCGTTTTATGTGCATTCAATGGCTGATTAATAAAAAAAACTTTTCGCTTCTGCCGCAATAATGAAGATGTGAATATTACTATTGTTTATTTTTATATGCACTTTGTATTAGGCTTCTTTTTTGTGCAATTTTCAGCAAGTTAAACAAAAAACCACTTAATTCAAATCACCAAAACAGCTGACAATGCGAAGTGTCAATAAATGACGTCTTGCAGTTATTTCATGGAGCAATTCGCCCGAATTCTAATCAGGAGCAATCATGTATGTACATGCCATATATGTGTGTGCTCCACTGACATTTCACATTTCAATACCAGCTGTTTCCGAACAGCTGTTCTCATTTTGACATCTTTCTCGCGTGCGATAATTAAGTTGTTTTTTTTTATAGCATTTCCATTGTGTAAAGGGTTTTTAAACATTTAATATAAATAGTGAATTGTGATCTGATTCTGATGGCTTCTCGGGGTGCTATTCTGTTAGGGCAGTGCATGCCTTGCATTAAGAAAAACGCTTCTAAGATACGTATACGCCGAATGGAGTTGGATAAGAACCTGAACATGGTGAGTACATTGGTGCATACTCCATTCTAATATACTTACATTCTGTTTGTTCTTCCCGCAGTATTTCAAGAAAGAGGAGTTCTTTTTTGCACATGATCCTGAAAAGGTATGCAAAACAGGCGATATTGTATTGATACGCGAATTGCCACAGCGGCTGACTCGTCTTATCTCACACGAAATTGAAAAAGTTGTTTACCCAATGGGTGACATAACAGACCCACTGACCGGCAAAAAGGTTGTGGTGGGCAAATACAGAGATCAAATTGAAGAAGCGAACCGTCTATATGGAAAATCAGAGAAAGCATTCGACTATGATAAAGCACCACCTCGTGGACGTCTTGAGGGAACTCGTGATTTTACACATGGCGAAACGTACATTAAATACCACGAAGACGGCAAGGATCAGCCGTTTGCTGTGTAATATTTAATTAAATTTGTATTTTAACATAAACAATTTAATAATAATAAAAAAATATTTACTTTAAAAGCTAACGAAAATTTGCGTGTTAGATTAAAATATGCGTGTTGTCTTCACTATTATAATAAAAAATGAATTAAATGCCGAAAAATTCAGTGTGCAATAAAGCAATGATAATAGCTTAAGAAAATAATGAAATATTTCGAGAAATAAAATACTTTTATTTAATACTAGATTTACTCTGCAACGCTTCGCCGCCGCATATACTCATTGAATATATGAAAAATGAATCATGGGATATCTTTTTATCAGAACTGTATTCACTTAACACTTATGGGAATACAATATTTTTGTTTTTACCTTTGACATTAGTCCACTTCTCGGAGAGAGGAATAGTTCGACATGTTTAATAGGCCGGACCCCAGTGCACTTTCCGGAGAAAAGAGGGTACAGTATTCCTGTAAATCTATGCAAAAAGCCACCAATGTATCAAATTTAAGTAAATCCAGCCAGAAATACATTTTTTCGAATAGGTCAGTCCCCGGCTTACTTCCCGGAGAGAAATGTAGTCTTCCTCTTAATCTAAGCAAAAAACTATCTATTTACCGAATTTGAAGTAAATCTAACCATAAACAAGATTTTTTCGAATAGGTCAGTCCCTGGTCCACTATCCGAAACCTTTTCCAGGCATCATAAAAGCAATCTGACGAAATTTTAAGACGATCGGCTGTTAACTTTTGGAGAACATCCGTTACAAACGGCCATAAGAGTTTTTTTTGAATAAGACAACTTCTCGAAATGTTTTTTCTTCTAAACCTTTTTTGGCGGCCGCGGTATGCGAATGGTTAGCATTGCGTACCGCCATTCGGATGGCTCGTGTTTAAGTCCCCGTGCGACCAACATCCAACAGTTAAGTCCTATATTGATTTAGAGGACACAATCCAGCAACATGTGTGCAACAACCGCTGGGCAGGGCGGCGTACAGACAAGCACACAACGCCATTCACCAGGAGTCAGTCAACACCTTCAAAGACTCGCTTGCCGTGAAAGGCGTGCTCGGAGATAAACCACCATCTATCGCAGATAACGAGCTCGGGCTGCCTCGAGAGACCCGCGTGACACTGGCACAACTTAGGTGTGAATATTGTAACAGATGAAACTTCTACCAGCAAGTGGAGAGTCTACGCACGCCATATGTCCCCTTAAGCCGACATATCTAACCAATCGCGTCGAAACAGCACGTTTCCTGGATCTCCCGTTAGATGAGCCCGGTGACTCAGATTGATTTTAAACTAGTTGTTACAACAACAATAATAATAATAATAATAATAATAATAATAATAATAATAATAATAATAATAATAATAATAATAATAATAATAATAATAATAATAATAATAATAACAACAACAACAACAACAACAACAACAACATCAACAACAACAAAACAACAAATGATTTGGCCACAGAAATTTCTTCAAATCCATTCTATGTATCATCTTACTTCCACGTATGTATATATGAACTTATCAATGTACTTACTTCAATCATCACTGTTTTAACAGGAAAACCTTCCCAAAAACTTTCGTATTTATCCATTCACTATGTTTGATTTTTTAAATTAAATAAATATTTATTTATTTATTTTTTTATTATTAATTTAGCAGGGATAAAATATTAATTCAGCTTTTCACTCATAGAGCCGCATTACTTGTGATTTTGTTTTGTAACATAAGCCTTTTGTTTTTTATACATTACAATTTCATTTATTTTCATTTACTAACAATTCTTTAATATTATAGTATATTTATATACGATAGGATTACGAATATGTAAAGTAGTTCTAAACTAAGCATGTTTGTTTATTTGTATGTAGATATGTAGTATTTAATAATTAATTATATTTTTTTAATTTCCGCGAAACACTTGTTCAATTATTAAATTAAAATTGTTCATTGCGCTTTTTTTTTATTTAATATAAACTGCAGATGTACGAGTATGTTTTTATGTTGAGTTGATCAGATATCTTGCTCTCACAGTTGTTGTTTGTTTATGTTTGATCCTATTGGTTACTTACTAACGCTTGGAAATTGCTTTAATTTATCACTAATCACAATCTCTTACGATACTAAAGTTGTACTGTAGTAAACTGTTTGCTTCGTGTGCTGTCTCCTGACAAATATTTTGCTGAAAAAAGTTAATTAAAAAATAATTAATTTAATTTAGTAAAACACGTGCATGTTCTTGTTGTAGTCAAACCCACTCAGGAGCGTCATCGAGTTCATCTAACGGAAGGTCTAGGGAACCAACAGTTCCGAGGGGGTTAGATCAAAGATCATACCCTTGCGGGTTAGGGGCTCAAGAATTTACCCGCGGTAAGGCATGCCTGTCGTAAGAGGCGACTAAAATCCAATAGTCCCGCGACAATCGGGTCTTTATACCGGAACGACTCGGATTTTTATCCGGCCAAGGACTGTCACTCCCGCAATATTCCCCAAAAAGTACTTTGGGGAATAATTTTGCGGTTACAACAACAACAACAACAGGGGGTTAGATCAGAGGGTAAGAGGGGTTACTTGAGTAGGTCTTTGGAGGCAAAAAAAGAAAATTCTTGAGGCTAGTTAGTCTAAGTCGCCGAGATGAGAGGTTAAGAGGGGTTAGATGTGTCGGGTGGGTTTTGGAGGCGTGTAGAGATGGTTAGTGTCATGCAGGGACTCGTTACATGCTGGACATATGTAACGTTGGGTATGTCGTGGTCGAGTCTGGATAAGTAGGAGTTTAACAATATCCAGACCTAAGTTGCGCCAGTATTACGCAAGTCTCTTGAGGTAGCTCAAGCAATTCCTCTGCTATGTTTGTACATCACCCTAACCAACAGCTGTTGTACATGTTGCTAGATTGACCGGATTATATGCGGTCAAGGACTGTCAGCCTTTCGGCGATCCAACAGCGTTTAGGTCAACCGGTAACATTAGTTATGGGCAACTCATTATCATTTTGCCTACCGAAGGGTGTTGTTCGCTAAAATGCGTCTTCCGCTCATTGCGTCTCTGTTTTTTTTTTGTCAAAAAAAAAAAAAACAAAAAAAGGTGGCAGGCTCTTAAAAGTTCCTTCCTTTTATTCCGCTTATGTTGGTCGATTTTTCGCCGAATGTCTTTATTGATATCCCTGATAAGGGGATGTGAGTCCGCTCAATGTCTTTAGTGTGGCCCTCTACCAAACAACATGCGTTATAACGGACAAACTGATTTTACTAGGAAAGTACAGCTTCTCATTGAACCAACTGCGTGTTCGTGAAAAATATAAAAACCTAGACCTCTGTAAATTTCGTCGTTTCCAACTGTTTACGTGTATTACCTTCTTGGAATCCGCGGTTGTTGCGCGTAACGCAAAACTTCGTACAAAATAGCCACGACTCGGTATGTTGAAATAGATGACCGAGACATTTGGTTGACCCTGTACAATGTTGGCGTTGAGTTGATGGGCAGACGATTGCAAGAGATGTGCACCTTGGTGTCTGGTTAGCTCGCGATTACTGCAAATAGTCCATAACAGTGGCACAGAGGAGCTGCAAAAAGAAGAGAAGAAGAAATTAACGAAAGCGAGCGAGAAACTCAATATTTTCACTCACGTGAGTTGCAGTTGTATGCTTGATTCCTTGAAAAATCTTGATAACGGTATAATATAGGTCATGTTCAGCGACTTGCCGCCATGTGGACAATGATGCTCCATACCGAATGTCTCGTTATGTGTGTCGGCTATCAAACAACTGTTGATTTGCCAACAATCCGTTAGAGCTTCGGCAGTAATTTGCGCTTCGGCCGATAAACCACTCGCAGGCGCTTGTGCGCCAACTGTGTCCTGTACCGTTTTAGCGTCAACATCGAGCCGTTCATCTGAGCCAGAAATATCTCTAGAAGAGTCTGATAGATCTGAGCGCTGTTCACTGGAAACTTCCACCACTTGTGCTTTTTTGTCTGTGCCAATGAAAGTAGCATTTGTCGACAATATGGGCGTGGCCAGAGAACGCGGTTGAGTGTCGGGATCTGGATCAACATCGCTGCTGTCCACATTCGAGTCTGATGATTGTGTATTTTCGTTGCTTTGCTGCTTTCCTGTGGCAACAGGGCCCTCTTTTACCTGCGGTATGTTCGCTAAGTTTTGGTGAAGTGGTGGCAATTGATTGGATTCCTCGAAGCAAAACGACTAAAATATGGGGTTAAAAATAAATGTCACTTTAATGTCTGTGTACCAAAACCTATCTCCTTTCCCCACTTTTACATTACCAGACTTATACCTATTTCATCTTCCCCGAAGGATAATCGAAACACTCACCTGACAATTTGACACCTCGTCATTGTTCGGCTTCTGTGTGCATTGTGGCGGCGCACCAAACATCTCTACCTGCACGAATTTACAACGTATGCGACCGACGCTACGTTGCGAGGTTGACCTGCGGCCTAGAATTGACTCACGACCCCAGCCGAAATCGAAACCGAACAACGCAGTGATTGGGTTATCCGCCGATTCATTGTTGTTACTCAGACTCTGTAAATCTAACAAATCTGTGCTATCCACTTTACTCTCCAGCACTGCTTGACTTTTATTTGAGTATGCCGGCACCTCTTGTGAATGGTTGCTTGGCAGACCTTCGATGGTGACCTTATTAGTGGTGAGTGGAAGAAGCGCTGATGGTGGTGAGACCGCTTTGTATACGTTACGTGAACGCAGCCCATAAGCCGGCACAGTGGTATCCGGCACATTATTGTTATCATTGATATTGGTATTTTTACCGTTATCACTGTGATCAACAACATTTTTACTATTAACATCGCCACTCGAGGATGTGCTGACAATGGGCATTATTGAGTCAGCAATGGTTTCAGCGTTTTCCGAAAGCGTTTCCTCGTGAGAACTCACAGCGCGTGCAACCGAGTCTCTGTTGGCTGTTACCTTCTTTGTCAAATGTTGTGCATCCACATCGATGGAATTGTTATCGAAATCGTGTGCCAATGGCACTGCATCGGTGACTTTTTCCGAAGACGTCTCATTGGTGCCGAGAGTTCCTGTCCTTCGTTGGCTCGGTGCCAGATTGGCATTACTTTCAGGTTGCACGCTACTGGTTCCACGTGTGTTTTGAAATGACGCTATCAACTTGGGTACCACTTGCGCTTGAGGCCACTTTGATTTATTTTTACTACTTATCGTCTTATTAATACGCAGCTGGGGTGCAGTTGTTGTCACTTTAAACGTATCTTTCCGTGGATGCAATGGCTGCAGGCTGACAAGCGGCTTTTCCATTACGACAGCCAGTTCATCGTTACGCCCATACTGCGAGTATGGATCACTACTTTCATCATAGGTAATTTCGGGGTTTAGTCGTGTAGAATTCCGATAACCCGTCGGCCGCGATGATCCGACCTGCTGAATAGTTTTATTTCGGTTGAGTAGATTATGCACCTGGACAATATAACCTTCCTGTTCGTTTATGAGTACAGAATCATGACCGAGAAGGTGACCGTTACTGTGGAACTGTAGTCGATCTAGTTGCTTGTAGTTGTAACGTTGCTTGTTGTGTTCCACGAAATAGAGGGTGGATACGGCTGCAAGGCTGTGGGAAGAGAATACGGAAGATTTGAGCCTTCATCGGACGTCTAGCAGATCTCTGGGAAAAATATTTTCTGATCACCCTAACTTAATCGTTTTAAAAGCATTTAATCGGAGTTAAACGAAAAATTACATTTTATTCCAATGTGGCAAGGCGTGACTGAGAAAAGAACTATTTTCACCAACATTAAAAGAGTCGGATATTTCCGGTTCCACCTAAATCTAGCACTTCCTTGTTTTACTTTTGTTTACTTGCAGTTATGTTAATAAAACTCACCAAGCTGCCATAACGATGACCAATAAAAATATGACGATCTGCAAGGTTTTGTTTGAACAGATCTCGTATCCGCCACGCCCTCCACAGCTCTTAGCCAAGCGATAGCTTTTGCTGCGTTGCTCGAACTCCTGTTGTCTTATTAGCCGATTGTTTCGTTCCAAATCTTCAATGCGCGTCTCCAGCGAGCCAGTGACCTTGCAGAGCTCTTTCACCGCACCAATGTTTTCCATCAAAATGCGATCCTAACGTAGGGCAAAGAAAAGAGGTCCGACTTAAAGCGATTGTATACATGAAATTCCAAAGTACACTACCTTGTTGACCAGCAGGAAATTTTCGATCACATTACCGTTAGGCAGCACAATACTGCCAGCCTCTTGCACCGCATCGGGTATAACCTCGCGCACCTCTTGCGCAATTACACCTGTGTCGACGATCTCTTCGCTGTCGCTCTCACACGAACGCTTAAGGCCCGAGTGCACAGCAAACTCCGGCGCGTAACGGTAACGCACGATGCGTATTTTCTGTAAGTTACGCAGTTGCACCGAAGTGTCCAACTCAGCTATCTCTTGCTTTGCGCGACTATCACTGGGCTGCACTATGTGTCCGGACACTTTCAGATTACCATGCACAACCAAACTCTCGTCCGGACGATCCGTGTTAATGCCAACACGGCCGGCGTGAAAGATGGAGTCTTGCGTAAGGCCACGTTGCCAGCAAAGATCGACGTCGGACTCGAATTGGCCTGGATTGGAGGCGCGCACAATGATACGTTCACTACCTTGGCTGATGATGGGGAAATTTCCGGATATGGTGTGTACGTGCAAGCCAACCACCAGTTGGAAGTACCGCTGCTCAGGATTGGGACGACCTTTTTTGCGCATGTTATTATTTGTTGTTTCTGAGAAATGCAAACGACCGACAGTCACTTTGCTAACAATGTGGCTCTGCAGATCAATACTGAAAAGAGAATTAGATCTGCTTGCACAATTATTTGGGAAGATGATAGTCTACTTACGGCACTGGATAGAATGGTTTCTTTGAGCGGTCCGATTGGCTTTGTTCGACACGGATCGTTTGATTGGGAGCTTCTAATTTAACACCATAAAAATGAAGATGAAATGAATTAATCTTCTCTAAGCCGGACGGCGTTTTGACGAACTTCGCATCGCCCTGTAGACGTGCGTGGCAAGTTATCTGAAAGTGGTTTTTCTTCTGACAAACGAACGCATCATCGGACACGGAGAAGTTGAAGCCCTTGTCCGCATCGACACGATAGTAAACGACCGCAATGTCTTGCAGGCTTTGATCGCACAGTTTGTGCCAGTTTTGCGGCTGGAATGGACTGAAGCGAATACACGGCGTTAGAGCATTATTCTCACCACTTTCGCCACCGCCACTTGTGGTTGTATTATTGCCATCCAGACTATTGTCCGGATTCGAGTTGATGGTCGACAGCGCAGGTGATAGCGAGGCAGCTGAGTGTGCGGGCGTACTGGATATGTCGCCGGCGTGTGCAGGTAGTGTGATGGTAACTGGTGATGATGCGCTAAGTTTTTGCGGCTCAGACACTACTGCACCGCCATCCGCTGGACTCATTCTCAAACCCGGATCTGGCTTTATGCTAGCAAAGTCGGGACAATCTAGCTGCGTGGAGAGCTTACGCTTGCGTGACGCGGACAGATGCACGGGTGTAGTGGGCAACGACGAACGAGTGTGCTGCGATGGTATCGCTTGGCTTGTACCGATCAACTGAACGCGTGGCACCTCGTTGATATGGGAAGTGAGCGCGCAGGACGTTGGATGAGTTGGCAATACATCGATCCCATTTACAACAGTAACATTTGGATAGTTCACTGAAGGAAAATTACCATTATGTAGATTCTCGTACGATAGCAGGCTGCTAGCATTTGTGTTGTGATCATTACTGTTGTTGTTGTTGTTGGCATTTTGATTCGTGAACATCAACTGGTGTGTAGGCGGAAAACTCATATGACCATGGGCGCCATTGGGATCATGTGTATGTGCATGTGTGCTTATGGAGTTGGCATGCTGCGTGTGCGTGAGCGCTGTCGGGTCCATGATGAGACCTGCCTCATGTTTCACCCGTATGGCACTCAACGTATCATTCGGAGGCGCCGTTGGCGTGTGATTGTGATTGTAATGTAATTGAGTGGTGTTGTTGTTGTGGCTGTTGTTATGCTGTGAATGTTGGTGCTGATGTGTGGTCATTTGTTGCGCTGGATGCGGTGACGTAAATTGTGACTGCAAATGCATATCGGTCTGTATCGAAGAGAGGCCATTGTAGACGTCGCGCGAGGTGAGTGTGAGACCGTGCGTGTCCTGTAGTGGACTGTAAGGTGGTTCCGAACCGGAGTCGGGCGGGCTGTCTGGCATATGCGGTGTGCTGTGGTTAACGGCAGCTGGGTTCGGCGTCGCTATGGGTGTGGATGCCAAACTAACACGCGCCGAAACGCTTACCAAAGATATTTGACCATCGACCGAGTTAATTTGCTGTTGATGCTGATGCTGATGCAGCTGCTGCTGCTGTTGTTGAAGAGAAGTAAGTTGTCGTTGTTGTTGCTGATCGGTCTTAGTGTTGCCACAATTTAATGGATTTTCGCGTGTACTATTGACACTCACACAGCCATTATGTGTGTCCAATTGACCAACGGCTGCTTCAACCTGCATGAACTGTTCCAGATTACCGAAATCGATTGCCTCATTGTCGATGCCTCCAATGAAATCGGATCGATCTGTATATGATAAATAAATTTAAATTTAAATTTGAGTAAGCTGAGACTTAAGCGTAAGGAATAAGATCTTTCGTATGGTAAACTCTTCATAAAACATTATGTATGTATGAAATTAAAAATTTCAATGCAAATTAAGAATATATGTATATACATACATAAATTTGATATGCTGCAGAGAATAACGCAGTACGAATTAAACTATTAAAAAAAATTTGAAAAACTCTACAACCCTTTAATTGGTTTTCAGCCACCGAAGCTACACTTCGCATGCGCATACAATGTGAAAGCCTACATACGTACATATGCCTGCATATGTGTATTGTACTTGTCTTTGGCTATGTATGGATGTGTGTACTTCTGCCGAATACGCTCATTTTATTAAGTTGTTTAAGATTTATTGATCAAACAAAATTATATTATTTACAAATGAAATCCGCAAATCAATTTTCACATTTCAACTAATGTGTGTTTTATACAGAAACGCAAACATACTCGTACATACATACATACCATACATATGTCTGTATTTATTACGCTGAATATTTGTTGTTTGTTGTTTGTTATTTATATATTAATTATATGGCAACTTAAATTTGTTAAACTCTACAGCTGCGATCTTTGTGATAATTTTTTCAAATATTAATTTTTTTTGAATTCTCTGTAAGATTAGAATCCAGTTTACAAGAAAATCATTAAGAAAAATATCTCTTAGGATATTTTCGGTTAAACAATTTTTTATTTATAATTGAAACGAAGTTGCGTGAAATACGCGAATAAAATTCTAAAAATTGCACATTGTGAATGCCTAATGAGTTAGAAGAAGAATAAGTAATGTCAAATAAATATTTGTACAAGAAAAGAAGTGCTACAGGCTCATCTTTATCGAAATTGTATAATTTTCATTCTAATTGGTATTGCGAAAAGCGGCATATTTCACACTTTGTAACCGTTGGAGCGATTTTCGGCCGAGCCCCTCCTCCAATTCGTGGTTTTGCGTCTTCATGTTTTTCTAACAGACGGAGGAACCAACAGTTTATACTAAGCGGCCTCCGAACGGCTGATGGTTTTTTATGAGAAGCTCTTACTTCATATCAGAAATACACTCGGATGGGTTAACATTCCCTGCCGAGGGGTTAACGCAATCAGAAAAATTAATTTTCAATAATTTTGGATGTTAGTCGATCCAGTACTCGAACCTTGGTCTTCAGAATGGCAGTACGCAATACTAACCACTCCGCTATTACCGCCGCATGCGAAGAGCCATAAAGACCATAATTTAGACCATATTTCGCTGCTTAAAGTTTTTCTGGAAAATGTCCACTTGAATGCCTTGAAGTAAGCCAAATGAATCATTCGGATCTATGCTTATTCACATTCAAGGTGAACGTGCATATGAGAATAGCTTATAACCCGAACATATCTACCACCAATCTATAACTACATCCAAATCATACTAATTCTTGTCAATCTGTCGGTGATCCTTCTCTCGCAAAAAAAGCATTATTTACATTTTGAGCAAACTGAATTTGGATCCAAAAATTTAACCAAAATGAATCATGAAATACATATTTTTTCAACTATTTCGATCCACTTCGCGTAAAATAAGAATTTGAAGTAAATCGTACCATAGATAAGATTTTTTCGAATAGGTCAGGCTCTGGCTCATTTTCCGAAATGCCAACACCACTGAGTGTATTTTTGACATGGAAATTAATGCTCCGCATAAAAATCCATTAACCGTTCGAAGGCGGCTTAGAATAAAGTACCAGCAGGGCAATTCTCTATCGTATTATAACGATTTTCGGATCGTTATAATGACTTAACGATAATTTTAACGATTTTGCTATTCTCTAAGCACAGTATAACGATTTTCGGATCGCAAATTAGACTTAGCGATATTTTTAACGATAATCGCTATTCTCTAAAATGGTATAACGATTTTCGGATCGCAAAGAAGACTTTGCGATAATTCTAACGATTTTAATATTCGGTGTACTTGTTATAACGATATTCGCTCTCGCTATTGTCGTAAACTACTCGAAAAATCGCTAACTAAGCGACGAATATTTTTAAGTTGTTAGCGATATCGACAAAATTTTGTTATTTCATTTAAGAGAGTAAAGTGTCCGGGAAATTGTCAAAGTTATACAAAAATAAAAAAAAAAAATAAAAGAAATGGTTTTGAATATTTGGCATACGTTTTATCACAATATGACGAGGTATCCTAATCTTCATCATTGAATAGAAGTTTGCGTCGAGAAGCGGAAGATCCTTTTCATTTGGATGCTACCGAGTTTCGCCGGATTTAGTTGAAGAAATCGTTTCTGAACTAAATTGTCAACTAAAAGGAAGAAGAATAACAGCATTGTCTACGGAGAAACAGGTAATAATATATATTTTCAATATTTTTTTTAGTCTTAACGCTATTATAATGTTTAAAGGTTCTACCCGCCTCGCGATTTTTTGCAATGGGGATGTCCATGAGTCAGTCGTCAGTAAACCGTTGTGTTCATCGCGTAACAGACGCAATCAACCGTTCAAGGTTTTCTGTTAGTTTTCCAAATTTTTGCTTCGTCATCGTCACCATATGTTGGAGGCACTATTGGAGCTATCGATTGCACATGAGTTAAAAACCATGAAGAAGCGTATATAAACCACCATGGATACCACTCCATCAATGTGCAAATGGTGAGAGTAAATTTGTTTCCGATTACTATTGTAGTAACAAAGTTAATTATATTTTCACATAGATATATGGTCCTTATCGCAAGATTATACTGGCAAATGCCAAGTACCCAAGAGCGCGGCACAATTATTTTATTTGGAGCTCCCCTATAGAGCGAAGAGTCATGCATGAAAGTGCAAACCATAACATGCTATTGAAAAACTTTGTAATGCATTGCTATTCTTTTAATTAAAATAATTTTAATAACAAATTTATTTGTTTTTGTCATTCCTCTTTGTGCTTTTCGTACATTTTGACGTTTTGTTGAGCTGTGGTGCCACCTTTCCTACATTTTAATAAAATGGAAATGTGCGATGTCGATTATCGTAACAACTGCGTTAGAGAATCGCATAATCGTTAGCGCAAGCGACAAAATTCGTAACTTTGCGATCCGACAAATCGTGTCGATAAAAGTTACAGAATTGCACTGCAGAAAATGAAATACCCATTAAAATTCATCGATTTTTTAGACCTGAGATTTTGGGTCATAAATCCAACCAAAAAGCATATAAGAACGTGAAATTTTGTATTTAGCACACGTATATATGTAAAAATCATCACATATATCCCTCAAACCGTTTCTTTTCGATATGAGAATTGTTGTTTGATTTGAAAAATGAAATGCTTTAAATTTGATATGGTCATGAAAGGTTTAACGACTTTCTTTCTTGTTTATTTTCATTTTGAGCTAGTTGGGATATTAGTTACTAATTTCGAATTAATCTTTATGTGTATCTAAATATGTATGTAGGGTTAAAAATGCAAATTTCTTCGCGAAAAAAAATATAAAAAAACTCTTCAGCATCGTTTTCTGGAATTTCACATCCGTTATTTAATTTATGCAAATTAAAACTAGAAATTCTTCAATAGAAGATTGGGAATTTAGAATTGTGTAAACTGGAATATTATTTTGGCGCCAAAGCAATTTGAGAGGGTAAGAATATCAAAAAAGGATTTAGTTTCATGAAGCAAAGGGTGCTTCTTTTTTATTAAGACCGTTGGCTTTCAATAATGTAATATTTTTTTCGGATCTTTTTGGTAGCAGTTACTTGATTTAAACCCAGTTGGATATACCAATTCCTACGTCCAATATTCAGTCAAAATAATCGCCTGGCCTTCTGAATGACTGGTAATTCGAGCCACCATTGATCCTGGGTGCTGTGAAGCAGTGTATCAAAGAACACACGTACGACTCCATTTGCAACCGCACGCAACAATTGAAGTTATGCCCGCCCCTTCATTTTACGGAAGAAATGCGACTCGCGCAAGAATCTTCAAATGATGTAACGCAGGTTCGGTGAAGGGACCCAAAACGAAATTATCGCATTTGGAGTGATGATAATCCACAAGTCATTGTAGAGACGTCTTCACATCATCAAAAAGACACTGTTTGTTTTGTTTTATGTGAGCAGAGATAATCATTGCTCCACATTTCTTCACAAAAGAACGCGGTAATAATATTACAGTCTATTGGGAACACTATGAGCCATGATTCATGACTTTTTCGTCCCCGAATTGGTGGATGTTGATGAGCAAAATTAGGTTCCACAAGACGGCATCTCATGGCAGGCAGCCAACGAAACAATGAATTTAATGCAGGAAACTTTTGGAGTCATGGGTCTATGGCGTGGCCTTCAAGATCGTACGACTTAATACCGTTGGACTATTTTTTGTGAGGTTATGTCACGTCACTTGTCAACGCATTACGTCAAAACATTAAAATATATTTGTTTAATTTTTTTTTTTTAAACCGCATGTCTAAAAGGGACACCCTTTACCACTTTTGGTAAGCACAGCATACATTATTAGATTATCAAACAAAAGAAAAATGTTGGCTAGCAACAAGAATTTGTAACACTTTATAGGCATTACGTGCAATTTGAGCCCAGTAGCTGTAGAGGTTTAAAAAATACCACAAATTTTCTTTATTACACACATACATTTTACTACATGGTTACTATATAGATATATTCTTACATATAAATACATAGCATATGTGTACATAAGTATGAACATTTATAATACATTTGTTTGTTTAATAAAAATTTACCATTTATATTCTTGGGATATTCCATTGAGAGAGTTGTTATCGCTTCGCCCGCCTTGTGTTGTGTTAATAAAATTACAATTATTTTGTTTTCTTAATTAAACAGTTATTCACAAAACATTTGCAACAACAATGCCGAGTTGGAACACTTGTTAAAATATTACTGTCATAGTTATTATTAAATGTTATTAATCTTAGTTACCACAATTTCTACGCCCATACATACAAACATCTATAAATATATACAAATGTATGTTTTGAATTTATAAACGGTCACCACAACACGTTCTTCGCGAATCTCACGGCTCACAATTTGCCACATTCGCTACATTGAATGTTTGCAATCGAAATGCAACTGACGTTGGAGATTTAAAAGTTTAGTAAAAGATTCAGAAATATGATGAAATTATTGAAAAAAAAAAATAAACAAAACGAAAACAAATAAAAACTTTTAAAAACGAGAAACACAAAATCAAAACGCTAAGCTGGGAATAAAATTAAATTGGAGATATTAATAAGCCGTGTAAGAAACGCAAGAGAATGCATTGAGCGGCAGAAGCGAAGCAACAGCATCATCACGCTCACACACATACTTATTGCATCTGTTAGATACAATAATTATCTAATGTTTTGTAAGCTTAAATATAAAAGTAAAAACAAAAAATAAACAACAACACAAAGACGTGCGCTTATAACAGCAGCTTAGTGTGCCATTTGGTTTGTGTGCGCAAGCGCGTGTGTGTGTGTGTGTATATGTTCATATGTATGTGCATACAAGCGCAGGGGGCGGGGTTGGGCGGCGCTAAGCGGAGCTGCGGTTGATGCACTTCACAAACCGTTGAGCATCAGTGAAAACTAAAAACGCTCCTTTATACACACACACATACATATGTATTGTACATTCATAGGTATGTATGCGCATCACAGCATACGTCAAGCACCTAGCAAAACTATCAAGTGCAACAAAATGAAAAATACAAGCAGATGATTTACAATAAAAAGTGCAACATTTATAAATCCACATGCAACAACAACAACAACAGCAGCAAAATCAACAAATTTACTGAGCAATTCAGCAGCTGCATTTGGCATTATCGTGCCGGCATGTAATTATTGTTGTAGCAAAAAAATTGTTGTATTAGATATTGTACATACATATGTATATATGCACATATGTACATATATGCGTATATAAATAGTATGTAATTCTTGTTATACCCAGTTATGCTGTATGCAAAAGGTATTTACTACAATTTTTTTTACAACGGTATTTTGATTATATTTTTTCACGATTATTGGCTTTTGATCGGTGTTTAGTAAACTCTTAAGTTTAAAAAGCAGAGACCTCTTCAGCTTCTTCAAGCATCTTTTTGTCTGATGACACATAGACTCATTTCCTGTTCTATGCCAAACCGCCAAGGGGCGACCGCTTTTAGAAAGATCAGCATAATTTTTTTTTTAATAATTTAATATAATTTTGGATGTTTGTCGGACTAGGGCTCAAACCAGGCTATTTCAGCCGCCAAGACTCATAAGCTCTTAACTATAAATATTTACTCTTATTCGGTCAACACCACCGGGGTTGGGTATCGGTGTTGAGTTGAGTGAATCGGATCGGATTTAGCGCCACCTCATTCCTTTAGCTTTATTTATTTTTTGCTTTCCGTCATGTTTTTTATTTGTCTTTTGTTGTTGTTGTTGTTATCGCTGTTGAAGTGAACGATTTAACGCATTACAAATCCGCGCAAATGCTGATGAAAAGCTCATGCGAAACTGATTGCCAAACCGACAGACAGACGCAACTACGCTAATAAAAACCAATATATGTATATGTAGTTATATCAATATGTATGAACATCTATGTAGATATGTGTTTGTGGACATGCATGTGCATGCATTTGCATTACAGCACAAATAATTATTGTTGCATTTTAACTGTCAATGAAATACAAGTGTACAAGAAACCAACAGAAAAAAATATCAAAAACAACAACAAAAAATAATTAATATCGCAGAAAATGTTGCACTTCTTACGGTGAATGCGCTCGCTCCATTCGTCATACGTCACTCTCCAGTGCTTGCCACATGCCACACATAACACACACACACACACACGCGCCACACGGCCATGGTCACTGCCAAAGCGAAACAAGTGTCGTCTACACCGAGTTTTTGCGAGTATGTACGCTTAAATGTACAGAGTAGGCAAGAATTAGCGAATCAGGTGCAGTCAAGTGAGTGGCAGGCTATTTTGCCATTGATTGAGATGGCTTTCAGGTGGCTTTGGCGTTCTGGGTCTCTGGTCTTAGCCACATTACAAAATTATGTAAAAAGGAAGGACTCTGTTTAGGTGGAACCGAAAATCCTGTACTCGAATATTTCGATTATAAGGGTGTGCCCTTATGTTTTGAAAATGATTTCGGGCAAAAGATAATCCAGCGGTATTAAAACGAATGATCTTCGAGTCCACGCCACATGCCCACGACGCAAGATAATTCGACCATCAAAAGGTGAGCTGTATGACCGTCTTGTTGGAATCTAAGGTTGTCCAAATCCAAATCCTCCAGTTCAGGCACGAAAAAGTCATGGTTCTATATCGTTCCCCAATGACCGTCACATTATCGCCGACTTCATTTTTGAAAAAATATGAACCATTTATTCCCTCTCCTACATAGAACACACCGACCAGTGACTTTTGGAAGATATAAAGTTGATAGAAAATAAAAAAAAGAGAAAAATATTAATTGTGTGTGCTGGAAGAGTTGAAAAAGTCACTGAAAAAAGTGTGTCGCTCTCGATTTCCAACGAAAGGGAGAGTTCAGCTTTCGGAAGTGAGCCCAACCACTCAACTTCCGCCGGCGCCCTGTATAATATGTATGTTTGTATAATTTTTTATATTTATTTATATATATGTATATATAATTGGCGCTTTGTGACCGCTTAGGCGATTTCCGGTCGAGCTCCTCCTCCAATCTGTGGTTTTGCGTCTTGATGTTTTTTCCGAGAAATGGATGCCCTACAGTTTATACTAAGCTGCCTCCGAACGGCTGATGGTTTTTTATGAGGAGCTTTATTTTATGTCAGAAATACACTCGGGGGTGTTGACATTCCCTGCCGAGGGGCGACCGCAATGAAAAAAAAATTTACTTATATTTTTATTTAAATTAATTTTTCTATAATTTTTGAATGTTGGTCGAACGAAGATTTGAACCCGAGCCTTCCGAATGGCAGTAAGCAATGCTAACCACTGGCATGGCATGATTGTGATTGCGTAAATACACAGAATCAAAAATGAATCTAAAACCTCGATATGTAAATCATTCGACACACTGCAATGAATGCAATTCGATACAATTCAGTTCTCGACGAGGCAATTTGATTCGCGCAATTTTATGTTCACGTTCACTGATCGCGCCAGGCGTTACATCTAGAGAATCGTTAGAAAAAGCCGAGTACTTGTAAACGAGAGTTCTATTGAATGTTGTAAATTGTTGTATATGTGTGTGGACGAACTCCGATTTCGAACCGTATTCCGCTTAGAAATGAATGTGTGCTTGGGCCAAGTTGGGCCAAGTTCTGCCGAACGGAAGGCTGAGACCGAATCGCAACTTGTGAAGTGATGAAGGCGCATCTTACTTTTATACAAAACTCAAAAATTGAGAACCATGCGATAGCCAAAAATATACACACGATAATTTAAATGTTAACTGGAATTAATAGTACAATACTTAGGCAAGTGCATTTGTATGTATATGTATATGTGCACTGAATTAAAATTAAAATTAAAGGAATTTGCTTTCTTGTTTTTGTTTATAAATATGTTTTGTAGTGAATAAACATTTTCTCCACTATGATTATTAAAGAATATTTTGTTATTTATTTAAACTTTTACAATTCAGTCAACGTTCGACAATAAAGAGTTTAAAATTCGATTATGCCCAATTTTTCTTCACATCCAAGTGATCAGTCACAATAGTCCATAAAGAATTTAGTGAAGTTAAAAAAAGGTAAAAATAGTGACAAAAAAATGAATTTCAAAAATCTGGAATTTAAAATATTTTAATTTTTTCAATGTAACTGTATATTCTTGGTTTCGAAAAGGCAAGATTTAACCTATATTTCCAAACACTTTTTGATCTTTTTTACACTGTTTATCGCGATGGACATACACACGAATGTGTGTATATTTATTTTAATTCACTATCGCTATATCCAATTTACATTCTTAGCATTTCTATTTTTCCAATTGTGTAATTCAGTACGTCGAAAGAACAGTTTTATAAGCTTTATATTATTTTAACTGCGTTTTCAAATGAGTCAACCAATTATTAGCTGATACAAACTCTAATTTTTTCTTCTAAATATTTGTTTTATTTTTCATTTTATATCGCTGTGTTTTTTGCTGCAATTCAATATTTACCGAAAGCCTGCATGACCTGCTCTATAGGCGTTTTGAACGCTTATTTAACTGAAATTAAAGCTTTGCTTTTAATGACCCTTTCCTCTTTATTAACCCTATCGCATGTCCTATGACACTGCCATTAACACGTTATGCTCGCTACTGTGCTAACCTGGCAAAAAGGAAAATGACTGTGGCAGAATATTTCTTAAGCGTTTGCTCTCAACTCAACTATTGATCAAACAAGTTTTCGGCTAAACTTACAAACAATAAAATAAAGAAAGGCATTTTATGGTATGTAATAGATTTTGATAGATAGATGTAACTAAATTCGCATACATATGTGCATATACATACGTATGTATATTTATAAATGCCAGACAAATACATATGTATATCTACAATCGCTAACTTTTTCGCATAATTTTTTTATTATCGCACGTATTTATATATAAGTATTGAATACAATTACGTACGAATATTAAAATATTATATATATATGATATATATTTAAGTTTATGTGTTCATAGTTGCACGTGTGCATAGAATTATTATTTGCCGAAAATTTTCTTTGATAAAGGCCTAATTTTTGGCTTGCCAGGTATGTATGAATGTATGTATCTTCGTTTTGCTTAATGCAAAATATGAAAAATATGAAATAAAATAAAATAAAATAAAAATNAAAATAAAATAAAATATAATATAATAAAATAAAATAAAATAAAATAAAATAAAATAAAATAAAATAAAATAAAATAAAATAAAATATAATAATATAAAAAACAAAAAATAAGATAAAATAATAAACATGTACTTTGTGAAATCGTTTTAGCTTAATTAAATACAGAAATATATTACGAAATTTAAATTTTGTTTTCCTCGCAATATCGTAGTCATAGAAATGTGTATCGAACTTACCTAGATCCGAAAAAATTGGATCAGAAAGAAAGTCCATATCCATAGAATCGTCGTAAAGGTGTTTTGTGTTGCCTTTGAAGCATCCTTCTGTCTTCTGCGTTTTACGAGAAATGCTGGAAGTTAAACAAATTTGTGTTAGTAGGGCAAACTATTATTTAAAGAGATGATAAGTGAGTAGTGTTGTACTTTTTTTAAGAGTATCTCTTTATCTGATTGGAATTTTTATTTCTATTTATATGTATGTATATTATAATATATGTACGTATAAGAAAAGAGTTAATATTAATAGTTTTTCTGCATTTTTTATGTTCCATCAAAATATGAAAAGTATAAGCATATACGAATTGTCCAATTAGTCAATAATAATACACATTTCGTAAGAACTGTCGACACAAAAACAATCACAAACATTGCAAAATAATAAATTATTGTTTATCGGAAAATTATGTGAAAATAGTGCATGTATGTATGTATTTAGTTTCGCAAAAGTTATTGTAGACAGACAAGAGAAGTACAGAATTCAATGAGATTTGAAAATAATGACGGATAAATGTGAATATTTTTTATTTTGTTTGGAAAACCCGTCAATGTATTGTTCAGCTCAAACATTTGGGCAATGAAGCGAGTTGTTCGCTGTGTTCGATACCCGGATATCTGGAGCTCTGATTAGAATCCAAATAGAAACGTTAAAAAGCAAATAAATAAAAGAAAAATATCTTCTGTTAGTCTACAGGGAGTGAGATGTTGGAATCAGTTAACAGGTTCGAAGCAGAAACAACTTCATAGAAAAAGTCTATAAGATGGTAGAGAAGGCAATCATTTACTCGAATAGGCAGATATCGGCAATGATGAACTCCAGTGTAATGAAAGAAATTAGCAAGTCTTTTGATAAAAGAGATATTAAAAGAAATAAAACATAATTCCACTAGACTTTATAGACACCTATAAAAGTATTTATGGAGTATCAGCCATAATAATGCCAATGTTTGATGGCAGGTGGAAATATCAAGTACAACCAGATCTTTCACCACTTGATCTTTCCAGCATAGTTGAGGAATTTCTATGCCTCTGCTTATAACGGCGGTTAGTGCATCGAAATCTTTCAAAGCTGGAGGATTAAATGACCAAGTCAGCGTAGCCGCTGTCTCTTGGTGCACAGAGAACCACAAATTTAACGCAAAACCTTTCATTTGCCTACTCAGTCCAAAGTAGCGGTTGTTGGCTAATTAAATTTCATCGTTGTTGTCGAAGTTCAACATCAAAGTTATGACTGTCAGCAGTGACGTGGGAACCGAGTTATGAATGCAATGACTATTTGTTTGAAGAGTGGAGATATTTCGTCTTGCCCTCATTCACTAGCAAACCCATACGTCTCGCTTCCTCATACAGTGTGGAGAAATCGGAACTCACGACGCGGTTACTGACGTCAATGACATCAATATCATCGGCGTACGCCAGTAGTTGAACACTTTTATAGAAGATTTTACGTTCTTATAACTCATAAAAGTCTGAACGCCATGAAGTATGCAATAAAAATTATCACATAACGTACAACTTTGGTATATTAATCAATTTTTAGATGAAAGTGGTAAACACATATTTATTTATTTGCAAGTGTTTGATTAAAAGGTAAAAAATATGATGAACTTATGTATATGGAAACCT